ATACTATACTCATATGAAACCTCGTGCAATACTATAAATATACTCATATGCAATCTCGTGCAATACTATACTCATATGCAATCTCGTGCAATACTATAAGTATACTCATATGCAATCTCGTGCAATACTACATTCATATGCAATCTCGTGCAATACTATACTCATATGCAATCTCGTGCAATACTATACTCATATGCAATCTCGTGCAATACTATAAGTATACTCATACACTCGTTGTAAAATAGAATACTTTCTGTGGAGGTCTCATTGAGTCATAAATGACTTGCTTTCTTTCTTTCTTTTCTTAGTCGCAATGACTCACTTCCTTCTTTCTTAGACTCGCAATGACTCACTTCTTTCTTTCTTAGAGTCACAATGACTCATTCTTTCTCTTTAAATGGACGAGGTAGGAACTTCACCAAAGTGTGAATGAACCTATCCGGGCACAGTGTCTAGCCGACCTAATACTCTGCTCGTCCATCGAACCACTATCTTGGTTCTATGCTCAAACTCTGTGGAATCAGGTATCGAACTATTAGCGTGCACACCCCTGACCAGGATTCCAAGTCTGGCGGGCAGTTTCCAACCTCGTAACGTGGGAATACACCGCGTCACATATATTGGGACCACAATGTCCATAAAATCATCCGAGAGGACATAGTCCAAACGGGGTCCTCCAAAACCTCACCGATATAGATAATACATAAATATATCTCTCATGCATCAATCTCATGCATGCAGCAACTCAACAACTTCTCAATGCATCAAGTAATGATATACCACATGCTCATGGATTTTGAAAGTAATACTTGGGCTCACGTTGGCCACTTATGTATTTTTGAAATATGATATATGTGAGATGCAAAATACTCTACAACATGCTCCAAATCCATGTATATAATCCATAAAATTCTCAATGATACAATATCATACTCGGTTTGCAACATAACAAATTCTACATTATTCTAATCAACAAAATATGCTTCAAAACTCATTGATCAAACAACACATTCTAGTCATGCTTTCTTAATAATTCATATTCTCAATATGATCATGCTTCTCTACTTAATACAAAAGTAACATCAGTCACAAAGCAAAGCATTTCTCATACACAGTGAACTTCATAATATATACTGTGAAACAATTCTTCAATAAAACCATCATAACATACTCATTTTTTATCCAAATTCAACGAAATCAAAGCCAAAACGTGCGTCGAGACGGCCCCGAGATACCGAGCCACAAGGGCCGTGACACCTAGCCCAAAACGACACGTAGCTGAGCCACAAGGGCTCGACCACTGCACAAAATCCTCTCAGAATAATACTCAGGGACCTGGGGCAGGACTCCTCATGAGCCGCCCCATGTAGGCCGTAGCATGACCGGGCCTAGGAAACGGCCCTCTCCAAGGGCCGTGGCTTAGGCCCGGTTGGCCTCGGCTCTAGCCGGCGGCCCCCCTGATGGGCCGCGACTAGGGCCGTTACTCTCGTCTGGTGCACACACAGTGTGCACCAGATAGGTTATTTCATCTGCAAAACACATTTCAAGCATGTCCAAAACATCCAAAACATTATCAACACATCAAAGACAAATACTAGATCACTTCCAAGCTCAAACACAACAAAAATCCACCATTTCTACTCAAAATAATAGGCTTCACAGAGCCAAATATCAAAGAGGGGGTCCATGGGGTTATACACTTTATAGATTAAAAGTTTTTAGTAAAATCTTTCAATGGATACATAGTATTTCCCAAAATATACGATGTTAATAGCTAAAAAATTTTAGGGAAATAATAGAATAAGTTTCAAATATCTTTATAATCAAATATACACCTCATAAGTATATATTCTCAAAATTAAGTATAACATTTCCCAAAACATATATACTCAAATAATTCTTGAAATAGAGCTTTCTTTGAAAATCATAGCTTTTGGTAGTTTAGACCCTTCTCAAACATATTTATGATCTCAAACACAACAAAAACCCACCATTGCTACTCATTTCTACTCAAAATAATAGGCTTCACAGAGCCAAATATCAAAGAGGGGGTCCATGGGGTTATACAATTTATAGATTAAAAGTTTTTAGTAAAATCTTTCAAGGGATACATAGTATTTCCCAAAATATACGATGTTAATAGCTAAGAAATTTTAAGGAAATAATAGAATAAGTTTTAAATATCTTTATAATCAAATATACACCTCATAAGTATATATTCTCAAAATTAAGTATAACATTTCCCAAAACATATATACTCAAATAATTCTTGAAATAGAGCTTTCTTGACAAATCATAGCTTTTGGTAGTTTAAACTCTTCTCAAACATATTTATGATTTTCTATAAAAAAAAATACTTTTAAATATAAATAACCACTGCTGGAAATTATCATTTTTCTGACCACTTTTCCGACCACTCATAAAAAGGGTCGAAAAAAGTGAATTTTTTTCAATTTTCCGTCAAAGTATTGGACTGGACAGAAAAAGGTCGGATTTTCCGACCATCTTCTACTTGGTGGTCGGAATTTATGATAACAAAGAAGATGTCGAATTTTTTTTTTTTCAGTTATTCAATGCTTTTTTTTTTCTTTTAAGAAATTATTTATTGTACATATTACAAAAATTAGAGTTCGAGACTTAACACTCACTTCTCTCGCACAGTCGCCCGATTCATTTGCCCTAAGGTTCTCACGACGTCCTCTCTCTCTGCAATCATCTCGACACACTCTCTCTATCTCTCGCTTTTAATCCCCTCTTTTACAGACTTTAGTTACCCTCATCCTCTAGCAGAAATCGACATTACCGTCTCTAGATATCTCTCTCTATTACAGTCTGTTCGAATCTTACTTACAACTGTCAAAACCTCAATCATCTGGAAGATCCCTCAACAGAAGCTGATTTTTAAGTTCATAGGAAGGAAGGTATGTATTTTATATCTTGAATTTCAGTATTTTTCATCATATTTATGTGTAATCCCAGTGTTCTTGTTTCTGAAAACCTAATAGAAATTTTAGATCGTTTTAATTGAAGTTCAATTACTTTTTTTTTTTTTTAGTATTTTAAGTTTGATTAATAGTGCATGCAATTAATTCTTTGTCTGGCGCTTTTCTTCTCGTAGATCAGACCTAATCCCTAAATCGTTTTTTGAGAGTGTTTTCATTCTTATATCTAGCATGATATATTAACCTGTTGATTGAATTTCTGTGTTCTGGTAAACAAAATAGCCTAAATAGATAAGTTTTTTTGAGCTTTATTCTCCTATTCCTCTATTATCGCTACAATTCCTACTATAGCTGTTTTATAGTGTGTTTATATTTGTTTGAGCATAATAGAATGTATTTAAATAGGGTTGTAGTTGGCATTTGAATTTTAATGGCACAATATGTGTGTGCTTTATGAGTGTGTCAGTGGAACTGAAGAGTTCTTTCCTAAGTAATGATAGCTTGTGTCGTTAAACATTGCATCAGAGTCTGCTGCAAATGTATGTTCTATTAGTTTTAAGTTTTACAGACATTATATTACAGACATTATTGAGTTATATCTGCTAACATACTCCTTTTCATTAAAATTGTTCAAGTTTATGTTGATAACAGTTTGCTATTTAACAGCCTACCAAGTTTTGTAATTATTTCTTATCATATGTTAGAGTTGAATGCGTTAGTACATAACTTGATCCAATCCATTACTTATTAATTATTGACATATGCTTTAGTTGAATGCCTGATGTAACTTATTTATTTTAAAAGTTTTTCCAATACTGATAGATTTTCCTTGTCAAGGAACAGGTTAATTGAATCTCATAATTTACAGCAAGTTTAGATTCTCAAATCCAAAGTCTTGGTACAGTTTGTGATTTCAAAGCTTCTATTTAAAAAAAAATACATGAGTATTAGCATCATTTTTGCTTTATAATTTGTCTGACTGAAAGGACTTTGGATATAAATTTGCAGGCACCAACATTATTTGAAGGCCCATGGGGATGCCCTTCCATCTACAACAAGGGTATATTTAGTTTCAAAAAAATTAAGTTCATAATTTTAAAAATATGTTGTATTATTTGAACATGGGTTGGACTTAATGAAAATAGCAATTAAACATTTGCAGGTCTCCCAAAATTTGAAGGCTAATGAAAAAGTATAAGCTCCAATATGGCATTGCAGTCAACTAATCTCACTGGAATATAATGTATTACAAATTGTCAGTATGGTACCAACTCCAATATAGTTTCAGTAGCCACTTAGGGCACAACCACAAGCCGGCATATTGTTTCAATTACAACCAAGAATTGAAATGTTGATAGTATAGATCAAAAGCATCATTCAAAATATAGTTCCAGTAGACTTTAATTAATTACATGATTAATTCATTGAAATGTTGATAGTATAGATCAAAACTATTGTAATAAACTGTTTTTTTCTCCCATAGATGCCTGTTTTATTCTTCATGGCTTGCTTAGAGAAATATTGAGTATCTAATTACATATGCTTTGGGATTTCTAAGACCCTTTAAATGTAGCTTTACTGCTAAGAATCCATTGATTTTCACTTTCTCTTGGATCTTGCTGAAGAGTTCGTGAGCTGGAACTTACTAGGTCATTTGAGATTATGAACTAAAGGTCTGTGTTAATAACTTGTTGGTAAATTCAGAACAGGAGATTAATTTCTAATTTTCTATCAAATGCCAGTCTTGTAACTTAGTGATAGACAGGAGTATTGGTGTATTTGTTTATACTTTTAGATGAGCTTCAATTTCTGAGGTATAGGCTGTTGGATTGCAGAGTTTGGGAAATTATTCTAATAATTGAAATTAGTCCATCTGAAGTGGCAATAATGATTTTGTTACTTCTATTTATGATATCTACTTATAAGATGCTGGGAAGTGATTTTTTTTTTTTTTTTTTTTTTTTTGCAAAATGTAAATAGCTATGTTATTGAGTAGTAATGTCTCTAGGTTGCTTAGTTGTTACATATAAAATATAATGAATCTTTCAGACAACTTTAAGAATGTTGCAGATTGTGATAATAAATGATTTGTTGCCAGTTTATTGTGTGAGTTTGCTAATGATGGTTGCTGGTGGTTTAATTTTGTATTGCAGGCCCAACTATCCTCTTTTTTCAGGAAAATGCTGGAAGTATCCTTTTCTTGTTATTTTGGGTGATGTTTGTTCTTTTCAAATTTCTTATCATTACTTAGTTACACTTGGTTTAGCCTTAACTAGTCAACTTCAGATATTGCCCATCGTCTTGAAATGGTCCGCATATTGTTACAACGATTGAACTGCAATGTTTTTATGCTTTCATACCAAGGGTATGCAAATTATTGAATTTACCCCCTGTAGTTTGCCTTAGCAATAACTTTTTGATGCATACTAAGCTTGTTTTTTCTTGTAAATAGATATGGTGCCAGTGATGGATACCCTTCTCAACATGGAATAACAAAGGACACTCAGGTTTTGTATGCCCCCAGAACTTCGTCTCACCGTTTTTCATGCATATCATTCAGTTTGAGTTCTAATATATGCTGTTGTCTTCCATATAGGCAGCATTAGATCATCTGGTTCAGAGGACAGATATTGATACATCAAGAATAGTTTTGTTTGGAAGGTCACTAGGTGGAGCAGTTGGAGCCGTGCTTACTAAAAATAATCCTGATAAGGTATCAGTCCAATGAATTTGTTGACTTTATTTATATAAAAATATGCATGCTACCTGATTGTAGTTATTTATTTCTAAGTCTTGTATATTGCTTATTCCTTTACTATGAATCTGTGTCTTCTGGTAATTGGCTAAGCACCTGTAACCTTGGAGATCTAAGATCATTATTGAATCTGCTTTCACCTTCTTCTTCTTGTAGTGGTTTAAATGATATTCTGTTTCTTTGTTTTACAATATACTGATGCAAATCCACCTTTAATAACATGTGTTCCATGGTTTCTCCCCTACTTCAGATCATGCAGACGCTCATTTGAAGATCTCTGAACTTGGGTAAGGATCTCTACTTTGTGATAGGTTATTTGTTTCAGGAGGTAGTTGTTTCATTGCAAGTCTTTCTCTTAAATGTATTTATGATTTTTTATTTGATAAAACCAACACGACGAGCTATAGGCAAACTTTATGGATTTTATACTAATGTGAAACAATGAGCTTGGTGGCCAGATAAACTTCACTAAATATTTTGTATTATAAATTTTTGGTGCAATATTTGTATTGGCGTAAAATGTGAGGTTCAGTATGCTATAAGCATGAATGTCTATTAGACATTATTTTTGTTTTATATGTTTTTCTAATTTGGCAGCTGCTGCTGGATTGGCTGATGAAGCTGGTAGCAGGCCACATTTTTTTTTTATTTATTAAATTACTTTCCGACCACCAAATGGTCGGAATTTATTTTTTTAACTAACTAAATAACTTTCCGACCACCAAGTGGTCGGACATTCCGGCCACCTGGTAGTCGGAAACTACACGACATTACTTTCCAGCCTACGACCAATTTTTTCGACGACGTTAGTAGAGTGGATGGTATTTCCGATAACTTGATGTGGTGGTCGAAAATACCGAGGGGGATTTTTCCGAATCCCCAAAGTGATCGGAAAATTGGTCGGAACAAGGGTTTCCGACGGAATTTTGACATTTTCCGACCACTTTTTGGTGGTCGGAAAAACGCTGATTTCCAGCAGTGAACCCTTCACACCCAAATAATATAATATATACTCCAAGATAATTTCCTAAAGGTTGAAGTAGCTCAAGTGGATGAGACTTTAATTATTAATTAATCAAAAGATTATGAGTTCAAATCCCATCTTAAATAACTTTTCAAAGCATAACATCAATAATTAAAACTAAACAACGAAATTAGGCACTGGGATTCAATCCCAGGCCTTTAATACTCACTGGTTTTCCATTCGTTGCGCTGCTTCCCTTCTCCAAACAATACCAGTCAGATACTTCAAACCCACAAAAATCACACAGTATATTAACAATAAATAACTTACATTCCATCATTCTAAACACCCAAAATACATATATACACACACTTAAACAACTAAGTCACACACTTAGGGCAAAATAATATGTTTGGGCATCCATGGGTTATACCTTGAGAATCCTTGTTCTAGCCAACACCATTTCTAAGCTCATCTCCTTAGCTTCATCTTCTTCCACCATCTCTAACTCTCAAGCAACCACAACAACCCAAAAACACATCTAAGCTTAGAAAATCTCATCTTAGAAATAAGCTAACCAAAGGAAATGGGAGAAGATAACTTACCTAGTCTTGAAACTTAAGCTTGGGAAGAAGAAGAAGCTCCAAAAATGAAGATAAAGATGTTGGAGAAGGAGAGGGGATGACACGAGAGAGATGCGAGAATAGATGCTGATTTTGGTGGAATGAATAGTGAAGTAAGGGAATAACATTATTCTTTATAGTTAGGGTTTTGAGGACAAAAATGTAAAATAAAATTGTAGGGTTCACCTTGCATCATGAGCCAAGGGCTAGAAGGGTGGTTTTAAATAGTTTAGGGGTCAAAATGTATTTTCCAAAAAAGATTTCCAAACAAACACTTAGGTTCAGATTTTCTCCTGGTCTCACTCATATTGGTTTCTCAGTTTAAAACTTGGTACGCGAAGTACCCGAAAATTTAAGATTTTAGATTTAAAATAAATCCCGATGTTGAATTTACTTAAAAGTGGCTCAAAATAATTTATTCAGCACCGATTTCATCGCAAAAATTTTTACGGAGTGAAAAATGGCTATTTCGAAATTTCTTCAAATTAGATTTATGAAATTAAATTTTGGGTTGTTACAAATGCCACATTGAGCGAATTTTGGGAAAGGATCCAAATTCCCCCACTCAACCCCACAGCTTCCACTCTCAACCATTGATCAAAACCAAGTTTAAAACAAGTTTCATCTGCCCCAATAATACCTGAAGATTTTGGCTCAAGGACATAGAAACAGTTAGACTTTTGTTGCCTAATGATTGTCATGGCAGCCCTAATAAACCTCTTAGAGGTTGCTCCCTGGTAATACCAAGTTATGATTTTCATCGGAAAAACACAACAAGGGCAACAACACAAAAAACAAAGGAAAAACGCAAAACAAAGCCTAGGCAGCAACCCCCTCAGGGGTGCCACCATGGCTCGTATCCTCTGCACATTCATGCCATGGTTCCTCCTCCATTTGCTCTTTGTTTGAGTATGGGGGATCACCATGATGCTCAAGCATATCCTCTTCCATACTAGTGAGCATGGTAGGGGTTTCAAAGTTATTGGGGTATATAGTACTAACCGATGTTTTATCATTGCGGTTACCTCTTGCTACTGTGTGTGTATCACCAGCTGCAGCGTGGTTGATTCTATTCTGTCTGCGTGAGGAGCTAGCTCCTGCTGAGCTGTAATGTTGTTTTCTGTTATTTACGTGCATGGCACTTCCCTCCACGTGCATATCATTAGATAGTTGTTTCTCCGAGATTTGTACATTCAGTCTCCTATTTTTCCCTTTATTTTTGGGCGCTGATTTCTCCGTTACATGCACCATTTTTTTCCACAGATTTCTCCACTGTTATCACGGGGTTCCCTTCCTGATTGTCCTTACGAGTTTCCTCATTCAGCTCCCCAATTGGCTCGTTAATTTTGTCCACATTATCCTCACTTAGGACCGCAAACATGGATGGTAAGCCAATCCCTTGTTCCACTACTTCCTTTCCTTTATTCTTCCCATTATTCTTACCTTTCTCAGCACTTATGGAGCCGTTGGTGTGTTGTGCTGCATTAGTTTCCTATCCCTTGTTTGAATTATTCCTTCCATTATTCCCTTGATTTTTCCGGTATTGCCTTTTGGGTGCAAGCATCCATGCGCTATATCTCTCCACGATTTTCGGCCTAAATACCAAAGGAGTATCAGTTTCCTTATTCTGCTCCCGTCCAGTCTCTCCCGAAGCTCCGCCTGTGTCCTCCTCCGCCCGGCGTGTACTACATTTTTTTGCTGCGTGGCCATAGATGCCGCAGTGGAAACACACTTGGTAGATCCCCTCGTATTCTATCTTTCTGACCTTCAACTTTGCTGTGAACTTGGAGAGAAGTTGTTTTGTAATGTATACTTCCACACACATTCTTGCAAAGCGTCCTCTCGACCCTACACTCGTTGACTCGTCGATGTATTTTGGCTCGCCAATCCTTTTTCCCAGCTTCATTAGATAAATGTAGTCATAGTATTCCATTGGGAGGTCAGGAAATCTTACCCACACCAGGACATGTTCTGTTTTATTAGATCTAGGATCCAAGTTAGGCTTCCATTCCTGCACAATCAGGTAGTGATTCATCACCGTCCTGGTCCTCCGTATTTGGCGAACTCATAGTCGTCTATAGACCAAAAACAAACCACATGGTATATGTCATCTAACGCCACCACATCCATTTTTGCCTTCGGCCTCCAGATGGCGTTAAGGCGTGTTGCAAGGTACGTATAGCCAACTTTTCTCCCTAGTACCTTCACAATGAGGGATTGTCGCCATGGTTTTCTCATTCTAATCTTATCCTCCCTTGTTAACCTGATTTCGGGGCACTCAGGATCCTCATCCAAGTCCTCCTCATCATCATCTGACTCCAGTTCTTCCGTCGGATACTCTTTATCCTTCTCGCCAGTAAGAGTTCTTTGAAAGAGGCCGTCCATTGCGGTGGTACAACAGGATGTGGGTGGTTATTCTCAGTTCCGCTGTCAAGGGGAGAGGGGTGGCCTTGGTTCCCATCATTCCCGTTCGTATTCTCTTCACGCCGTCCATTGCCACCTCTCCCTCGAACGACGGCGGTGTCTCTCTGGTCGTCTTTGATTTCTTTGTGCTGCGCTCCGGCCAAGAGGTCTTGGTCCTCCGCCGTTCTTACCGCCGCCAGGGTGGCTCCTCTTTGGTTTCCCGGTGATGGTGCTATCGCTGAGAGCATTTCTCCTTATTCGTTTTAAACTTTTATTAATAAAAATTGATTTAATTAATAAATGATGTGTTAAATGAGACAAAGGTGGTGTTAATTTGATCATGCAAGATTTAGGATAAAAAGTTACCGTAATCTATCTATATCTATATATCTATATATATATATAAAAAAAAAAAAAGTAAAATCCTCCTAGCCAAATTTTTCCCCAAAACTTAGGGGCATTTATGTAATATCATTCATTTAATAATAATAAGGGAAAATGGCATATTTAGTCCCTAAGTTATTATCATAGTGATGACTCAGTCCCTGAGTTATGACCGTATCCATTTTTAGTCCCTCAGTTATGAGTTAAGTGGCGTTTTTGATCCCTGCCGTTAATGTTTTGTTGACAGTGTTAATTTAAGGGGTAAAAAAGTAAAATAATAATTAAATAACTTATTACCCATCTTTATTTATTAGAACCCATTCCCCATTTCCCCCCAAAATAAAACATACGGAGTATTTTCCAATTTGACAACATATAGTCAGCGCCCTTCCCCTTCCCCTTCCCCCAAATTTCGAAACCTAATTGCAATGTAAGAAAGAAGAATTCGAAGCTTAAGCAGGGGACGAAAGCGTACTTCGCAGGTTAGAAGGAGAACAAATCCTACACTACAATGACTTCTACAATTTTGTTGGGCACAAATCAACCACCCACTTGTAAGTGTTTTTGTGAAATCAGAGTTTAATAACTTTTGAGCTTTTGTGTTTTTTGATATGCGAATGTGCTGGGTCCATGTTTCAGTTTTTGTATTTATGTGAATGTGTGGTCCATGTGAGGAGGAATGACTATTATTTTACTACTAAAGTGGTTTTTGTCTGTAAAGCCATGTATGTATGTCTGCTAAAACTGTTTTTTTTTTTTTTATTGTTGTGTGAATGTGCTAGGGTCTATGTCTGAGTTAAATTAGCATACTTATTTGAACCCATCCACATAGCTCTTCTATACAATATAATTGCCATTAAAGATGGAGAAGTTAGCCTAATCTGTCAAACATAATAGATAGATTTCAAGATCTTTCCCAAATTCCGTCAATGTAGCATCCTTTCACTCTTTGTCTCATCTATGGTTAAGATGTCTAGTTGGCTATGTTATCTAGCAAAATTTATGAGTTAAAGAATCTTAGCAGTTGGTATGAATCTCAAGTGACAAGGATGTGTACCCAAATCCTAAAATAACTCTACTGAACATGCAAAATGTTTGATGCTATTTTCTACCTAGGGATAAATTACAGCTTTAATTTGTATGTATCACTATTAGAATTGATTAAAAATGCAGATGAACTAGTGAAAGGGAGTGAAACTGAGATATCAGCTTCTGTGGGGAAAGAGTGTTCAGAGTCTATGGATGATGGTAGTGATGATGAGCAAAATCTTGATGTTGGCAATTCATCCACACCTAATATTCTTACTGTTGGATTAAATCAAAATCTTGATGTTGGCAATTCATCCACACCTAATATTCTTACTGTTGGATTAAATCAAATTGATCTAGAAGGGGAGAAAGATTGGGTGGAATCAGAAGATGAGCTTAGAAGCATTGGTTCAAGCTCAGATATTGAAGGTGAAAATAATTTGTTGGTTTATAGGGAAGGAGATGAGAAAAAGCATGATTTTAACTACAAAGTTGGCATGATTTTCAGTAGCAATTCTCAATTTAAATGGGTTGTAGAAGTGCATGAAGCAGTGAACAAAAAATCAGTTAAGTTCACCAAGAATGACAAGAGGAGAGTGCAAGCAAAATGTAGAGTAAACCATTGCAATTGGGTCATTTTTGCTTCAAGGAGTAACCCAAGTTGTCCATTTACCATAAAGTCATTTGGTAAACATACTTGTGGAGCACAACAAAAGAACAAAACTATAACTTCAAGGTTTTTGTCTAAGTATTATAAGGAGGAATTTAAAGATAATGAAAATTGGGGTAGGAAGGAATTCCAAAGGAAAGTGAAAAGGACATTTAGATGTAATGTGTCTAAGTATCAATCTTATAGAGCAAGGAGAAATGCCAAGGAATCATTAATTGGAATGCAGGCAGAACAGTTTAACATGTTATGGGATTATTGTGAAGAGCTTAGAAGAAGCAATCCGGGTTCAACTGTTAAGATGAAGTTAGACACAACTGATAGGGAAGGTAGTAGGTGCAGATTCCTCAGATTATATGTCTGTTTTACAGCATGTAAACAAGGGTTTTTGGCTGGATGTAGGCAATTGATAGGAATTGATGGTTGTCATTTGAAGGGGTTCCAAAAAGGAGGACAACTTCTAGCTGCAGTAGGAGTAGATGCTAACAATTGCATGTTTCCAATAGCATTTGCAGTTGTAGAAGGTGAAACAAAAGAGACATGGACATGGTTTCTTCAATTCCTTGCATCTGATTTGGAAATTCATAGTAACCCTTATGGCTGGACATTCATATCTGACAAGCAAAAAGGATTGGTTAAAGCTGTTGAAGAGGTATTACCTAATGTTGCACATAGGAATTGTGTAAGACATCTTCACTAGAATTTCACCAAAGATGGATTTGGGGGTCAGGTATTTAAGAGAGTATTCTGGGCAGCTTGCAAAGCCACTACAGAACCAGAATTTAAGCAGCACATTGAGGCAATGCAAGTGTTAAATCCAAAGGAAGCTGAGTGGGTTAGTGAAAGGTCTCCACACCATTTCTGTCGAGCTTTCTTTGACACATCTACTAAGTCCGACATGTTGTTGAACAATTTGTGTGAGTCCTTCAATTCTTCAATCTTGAATGCTAGAGACAAACACATTATAACCATGGTGGAGTGTTTAAGAATATATCTTATGAAAAGAATGCAACGTAATAGGGATAAGATGAGGAACAATCCTATGAAGATTTGTCCAAAGATTGTAAAAAGCATTGAACAAAACAAGGAGAAAATAGGTGGCTACATTTCTTATAAGTCAAATGACGAATGGTGGCAGGTTGAGGATGATGATTTGAAGTTGTTTTGGGTGCACTTAACCACTTGTTCTTGTTCATGTAGAAGATGGGACTTGACAGGCATTCCTTGTGTACATGCAATTTCTGCAATTTCAGAAAATGGTCAAGATCCTATAGAGTATACAAATTGGTTTTATTCAGTGGAGGCTTATTTGAAGAGTTATGAACCAGCTATTCTGCCCATCTCATCTTCAGATCAATGGATAAAAACAGGAGCACCACCACCCTTGCCTCCCAAATATAAGCCCCAGCCTGGAAGACCTAAAAAGTTAAGAAGGAAAGATCCTATTGAGAAGGAACATGTGCCGACTAAACTTGGAAGGATAGGAGAAAAGAAAAAGTGTGGACTTTGTGGCCAACATGGACATAACAAGAGAAGATGCAAGGCATCCAAAGAGGTAATATAAGAATTCACTTTGTTTTTTTCAATATACTGCTAATATTTTTTTTCTAACAATTATTATGTATATTTGTTATAGAATACAACTATATCTACTGTTGAAGGGTTTAACCAGCAGCAACAACAAAAACAGGTACATTTTTAATACATAATAAGTTTCAAATTGTTTAAGTCGTACACTCGTACTAATTCATCAACTGTGAAAACAGCCTGTAGATATGGACTCCAGTGTGCATCCCTTGAATGTACAAAAAAATATGAATGTGGATTCCGGTGTGCAACAACCGGTAGAAATGGTTAGTTGAGATATGAATAGTACATTAAATACATTAAATATGTCATCTAATATGTCTACTTGATTAAATAGGCTATAAGGACATCTCAAGCTGCCCCACTTGATACTCGGAGCACAGAAAAAGCAAGTACATCAACTACAAAGAAAAGTAGGAAACAACTCCACCCCAAGCAAAAACTGAGAAAGAAGTAGGATGAATTTGTCAGGAATCTGTGATGATCCTCGTTTTGTGGTGTTTTGTGTATCAAACTGAATGGTTGACAGTGATGAACTTCTTTTTGTGGTCTTTTGTATATCAAACTAGGGTGTTGTCATTGCTTTTGTTTGAAATGTCAGTATAACGTGTCAAATATAGTCTAGTGTAGGTATAACATGTGCTGACCATGTTTTGTTGGAAAGGTAAGTTGAACATGTAAAAGATTGATCATTGTAGCTATAACTTGTGCTAAACATCTATTAATATAAATATTTTTGGTATAAATTGGAATTGTCCTACTTCATTTCGCAGTATACATATGTATTATATGTACTTCTTTATCTTTATTCATTTCTACTTTCAATTGAGAGTATATTTTAATTCAACTCGAAAGAAAATTTAATTTAAATCAAACATAACTTGGGGAAAAAGAATTTCAGATTTCAAAATTTAGGGAAGAAGAACACCTTAGATTGTAGAAGAAAGAAGAAATGAATGAGGTTGTATGAGGGTTTGGATATAAGAAATGATTATAATTTGAAATTCCAATTTTACCCTTCAATTATTAATTTACTTGTAAGTTTTCAGTTAAGTGTTGACAGAATTTTAACACCGGGGACTAAACACGCCACTTCGCAAATAACTGAGGGACTAAACTCGGATACGTTCATATCTTAGGGACCAAATCGGAACTTGGTTAAAACTTAGGGACTAAAGCTGCAATTTTCCCTAATAATAATAATAATAATAATAATAATAATAATAACAATAACAATAACAATAACAATAACAATAACAATAACAATAACAATAACAATAACAATAACAATAACAATAACAATAACAATAACAATAACAATAACAATAACAATAACAATAATAATAATAATAATAATAATAATAATAATAATAATAATAATGTCATTACCTTAATTACAAATTATTATACTTTCCTTTTGAATTAGTATTTTCCACCCATAAATACAAATTATACTTTCATTTGCACTCTATGATTTCTAAGTTTTATATGTATTGTTTTAGTTTTTAGCAGTTTGGAGCAAATTGCTAAGTTATTAAATAATATTTTTGGTGTTTTCATTAAATATAAAATGTTAAACATGCACATTTCTTAAAATTTTGTCAAATTTGCCAAATAATCAAATTACAACAACAACACGACAACAACAACAACAACAACAACAACAACAACAACAACAACAACAATAATAATAATAATAATAATAATAATAATAATAATAATAATAATAATCCAAACAAAACTATATATAAAATAAAATTAAAATTAACAAAAAAAAAAAAAAAAAAAAAAAAAGACAAAGGGGACTAGGGGAGCCACGGGCTCCCTTTGTAAATGATATGGGATTATTTTGATCCCACATTGAAAATGTTTGAAAAGATGAGCTCTTGAGCTCCTCTATATAAGAGGTACAAACATAATTGTTTGCCCATCAATGTTGCAAGTACTGAGAAGTCAAGGTTCTTATTTAAGAAATCTTAGCTTTGTCTTCTTATTTTAGTTTTTATTTATTTATTCATTATTTATTATTTATTATTAGTGACGGTTGGGAAAGATTAACCCAAAATGTATGTGTTGTTTTAGTTTTTAGCAGTTTAGAGCAAATTATTGAGTTATGATTAAAGAAATTGTTAAAATGGCGAATTTGTTAATCTCAACATTTTTGTTTTAATCGTCAATAATAATAATAATAATAATAATAATAATAATAATAATAATAATAATAATAATAATAATAATAATAATAATAATAATAATAATAATAATCCAAACAAAACGATATACAAAATAAAATTAAAATTAGAAAAAAATAACAAGAATGATGTGGGATCATTTTGATCTCACATTGAAAATGTTTGGAAAGGGGAGCTCTTGAAAATGTTTACAAACATAATTGCTTGCCCATCAATATAGGCAAGTACTGAGAAGTCCAAAGTTTTTTTTTTTTTTTTTTTTTTTTTTTTAGAAGTAAAGGAAAATTAAAAATGGAAAGGAAATATTTCAATAATAATATTTGACATCATCAAATAGTAAAGACATATTTTTAAAAATAGTAAATGTAAATTAAAAATGAAACAAAAATATTTCATTAATAATATTCTACATCATCAAATTAAAATGTAATGGAAATTACGTAAAAATATCACTACATCTATATTCTAATTGACTGGAAAAAAAAATTGACTGAAAATGAATCTAATATTACTAATTGACTGAAAATATAAAAGGAAATGAATATTAATAATTGACCGCAAATAAAAAATGATCCATAATTAACTAAAAAAAGAAGAAATGATCAGATCATTGCATTTTAATTAAAAATTGAATGAAAATTAAAAATTGGGGAAAATATTTCAATAATAATATTCTACATTATCAATAGTAAATGCATATTTTAAACAATATTAAAGGTAAATTAAAAATGGAACGGAAATATTTCAATAATAATATCTACATCATCAATTAAAACTGGAACAAAAATTTTGTAAAAATATCACTGCATTTGATATTCTAATTGACTAATTGACTGAAAATAAAAAAGAATAATTGGCTGAAAATCTGATATCACTAATTGACTGAAAAATATGAAAGGATAACTAATTGAGTAATATTCTACCATTATATATTTTAACCCAAGTAATTCGTCCTGATGGATTGAAGGTGTTAGCTCTAGACGAATATGAACAAGATTGTGTTGTCACTACCAATATCGTCTACAAAGAGGTTTCAATAATGTGTAAATATAACCGGTGATATTAAGTTTTTTTTTAAAAAAAAAAAAAATGAAACAATTGGTATATATCTAGACAAAAAAAATATATTTCATACAAATGAATAAGGATACCAATTCATTTCTATAACTGAGTTGGTAGAGAACGAGCACATTTGCCTAATTTATGAAAATACTAAATAATGATAAATAACTTCAAAGTTATAGCCCCGTATGTGTACATCTAGACATTAGCCATTAATTTGAGCAATTATTTGCACAAATTCAAGCAATGATAACATCAAAATATATAAATGATCCAAACAATATCTTTAATTGCACTATATAATATTTGATGTTCTAATTTAAATAATTATATATCGATTCATATATTCTTAATATATTACAACAAATTCATTCTGTGCATCGCACGGGTGCAAATACTAGTTATCCTTAAACCGTGTAGCTTTTGAAAAGCATCTTACTATTTATAAATTGATCAATTTTATTATAAATGAGCAAGATGAAATTGCATAAGACAAAATCTAAATAGTGTCACAAATGTATATCATTACAAATCATTTTCAATTATTCATAAAAATAGTTATTGTGTAAAAGTAGATGGACATATAATTATAAAAACAAAGAGATTTATTTATTTGTCATAATCCATATATCTACTTCGTATATATTTGGAATAACATGTTATAAGTATTTTGTCACTCATTTGTACTTTAAATAATACAAAATGTTACTGAGTTTACTGTATATGTTTATTTTGATAATTATGTTATATAATTCATGACCATATTATATATTTAATTATTATTATATACATAATAATAATTATATATTTAATTATTATTATTATAGAATATATAGAATTTGTCTATTTACAGAAATGTTATTCCCTTATGTGATAGTAGCAATTGAATACGTGGTATCCAATTTTTTCAAACATTTTTTTTATGGTAGTGAATGAATGGCATGCTGTGAGCACGTGTCCACCTTGCAAGGTGGTCACGGTTTCATATTCATAATTTCTATATTGTAGATTCATAATTTTTATATTGTAGATCTATAATTTTTATACTGTAGATTCATAAAATTTATACTTTAAATTCCAATTGTTGAACTTTGTTTTCACAAATCAGAGAACTATATGTTCATAATTTGATAACTATACAGTTTAGAAATTATGAATTTACAGTCTAGCAAAAACTATAAATCTATAGTACAGATATTATGAATCTGCAATATAGAAATTATGAATCTACTGTATTTAAACTATGAATCTACAGTTTAAAAATTATGAATCTAAAGTATAAATTTTATGAATCTACAGTATAGAAATTATGGATCTACAATATAGAAATTATGGATATGGAAGGTGGGCACGTGCTCACAGCATGAGAATGAATGCGTGGTACCCAGCCATGTTTTCCAAACTTTTTTTTTCAATAACTCCAACTACTTCAATATACAATTAGCTTGTTATCAAACATTGATTTCTTTTGTTTTGTTTTTTTTTTTTTGTTTTTTTTTTTTGTTTTTAGAAAAAAAAATATTTAAGTGCATGCTTTTCATTTGGAAAATAAAAAATGTGAGAATTAAAATTAGAAAAAGTTAGAAACTTTGTGACACTAACCGGAGAAATTATATCTTTTTTTAATATATAAATGAAAAATTATAGAATACATATTATGTGTCTATTTATAGATATGTTATTCACTTACGTGATGGTAGAAATTAAATATGTGGTACCCCTATTTTTCCAAACATTTTTTTTGTGTGTGGTAGCAATGCATAAGTGATACCCATATTTTACAAACATTGTTTTTTTTTTTTTTTTTTTTCAATAACTCTAACTACTTCAAATTGATTGTTGATTGATGTAAACTCTAGCTTGAAAGAGAGTGAAAAGCCATCACTGCAATCAACTACGATTCGTCAAGATTTTGTGTATTCAACTTGCTTCTTGTCCTGTAGTGTATCGCATGGCTACAAGGCATGAAACTTACTTGCTACCTCCCAAAGAATCATACAATTTTTTTAAAGAGGTAGTCAACCGTGTGAAGCATGATTATTATATTTAAAAGTTACAAAATCAATTCTTATCAATATTATTTTTTGGTCTGGAGTTCCCATTAGCTAGACAAAACCCCCTCATGGCTGGCTTAAGATGAACGTGGATGCAGCAATTAGCAAGGAGCTTAAAACTACCAGTATTGGATGTATTATACGCAATG